CCCATTGTTCCCTGCATTTTAGTTGACTTTTACAACATGCATTGCTTACGGAGGAAAGATTCTTAATCCAGTTCCCCATGGATATAAAAGGAAAAGTAATAAGACCAAGAACTATTAAGATAAAATCAAAGAAAACTCAGATGAGTGTGTATAAATAAACATGTACATGTATGTGTAGTGTGACCTAAGTGTAAGTAGAAGTAGCCAAACGTACCTGATATCTTTCATGTTTATGAGACAGAAAAAAGACACCAGCAATCCTACCATCATGTAAAACAATTACAGGTTTCCGTTTTACACTCATTTGGCAGGACGGTAGTACCTCCCTGGGCGGTTGCTGTCTACCAATCTATATTTAAGCTAGGGAAGTGACCTAGAGTCCTTATGGAGGGGGATTTCCCTTCCAAACAATAACCTCTTCGCTCTCTCCTACTCCCTGTCTTCCATTCATCAGCAACAGCCTTCAATAAAGGTAACTGTCATGTTGAATGTTCATTCTTTTGTGCATGTAAATCTATCTTTAAGGTAAAAAAAGAATTGTTGTTGATACTTCCGGGTGTCTGGAACGAATTAATTGGATTTACGTTATTTCTTATGGGGAAAATGGATTCGAAAATCGTCAATTTTGGTAATAGTCACACTTCCAGGAACGGATTAATTATGAAAAACGAGGGACAACTGTATTGATTTCCAAGCTGTTGAAAGCAGTTCGAGTTGTGACAATGAGGGGGAATATTCTCCACTATGCTGCACAACGCAGCATACGTTCTGGTAGTGTGCTATATGCCATTTCAAGGGGAAGTAGTAAATCTCGGAATACATCCTGTAACCCTACACATACTGATAGTGAAGATGACAATATTGTTACACTGAGGATGGATAATGTGCGTGGGGCAGCAGGTGGTGGTGTTGGCAGTGTCATGTGGCACCAGCAGCAGGCCATGCTGCTACCTATGCTAACTCAGCACAGCCACAACAAAGGCCGCCCTCAATCACCCCCACGATCCCTCAACCTGCACAACCACAACCACCTGTCAGTATCCAGTACCCATTAGCAGACCGCATCTGGGATTGGTAGGAAGGTGCCAGTTTTGTTCCCAATCCCCATCAGTTTGATGAAACACATTGTTCCCAAGTGTACACTATGGCCGTGTACACTTGGGAACAATGCCACTGAACTGGAATACTTTCAGTTATTCTTCGATGAACCCTGCTGTCCATTATTGTCAAGCAAAGTAACACATACTTCAAATACACCATGGCAAACACAGTTGTTTCACAAAGATCACGCCTACACAAGTGGAAGGACACAACTTTGGCAGAGATGTATCTGTTCTTTGCCACAATAATGCTTATGCCACGTGTGTATAAGCACACTGTCACCACATACTGGTTGACAGACGCCTGATTTCAACCCCAGGTTTAAGTGATATAATACCGGTGAATCGATTTCTGCTACTGTTACATATGCCACACTTCTCAGACAAAACAAGGCCTGACAGAAACAACAGGTTATAATAAGATCAGGAATGTGTTCATGTACCTGAAACAAAAGTGTTGTATGTATTTTTATCTCTTCAGGAAGCTTGTTATTGATGTGTCTTTGATTTTTTGTTCAAAGGCAGATTGTCATTCAAGCAGTGTATACCAAACAAGAGGAAATGCTTTGGTATAAAGTTATTTGTACTGTGTGATTGCAAAAGTGGTCTGGTTTTGAATATAATTGTGTATACTGGCAGTATTACATTGCAAGATACCAGGAAGTTATTGGGTATCTCTGGTGATGTGGTTAGAACAATGATGGAACCATATCTTGGTAAGGGGCATGTATTATACTGATAACTTGTACACAAGCCCCTTACTCAGTGATATCTTGCGAGTGAACATGACAGATGTGTGTGGCACAGTGCGTGGAAATTGTAAGCATATGCATAGGTTCGATGCATTCACTCATACAGGTGAGGTGCAGGTGTTTGCTACCTATGACATCATGGCATTTCAGTGACATGACAAACTTGATGTCACATTGTTGACATCAGTTCACTGAAACGAAATGACAGACAGTGACAGGCAGAATAGAGAGACCAATGAACCCATTGTAAAACCTGCTGCTGTGATGGAATACAACCTCAATATTCACTTAGTGGACAAGTGTGACATACAGACTGGGTTTGCTGATTGGATTTGCAAGAGTTGTAAGTGGTACATAAAAACTTTCCATCTTGTTGACATTTCCATGCTGAATACTTATAACATGTATAAGTTGAAGACCAACAACAAACCATAATATGGTGAATTTTGTTTGTCAGTCATCAGACAAATAATATTCAAGTACCAAGGAACAACACTTGCAATAGACCAGTGCCCATGAAATTATCAACACATGCTCTCTCGTCTGAGGCCTGGTGATCACTACCCCATTCCACTGCCTCCTACTACTTTCAAGAAAACTGCTCAGAAGAGGTGTTATGTCTGTGCACATACCACAAAACGCCCACAAAAATGCAGAGGCTCTCGTTTTATGTGTGAGGAGTGTAAAATACCACCATGCATATACCCATGTTTCAAAGAATTCCACAAGCTGCAGCAGGTCTAGGAAACTGTCTAGTGACTGTACATTTGTATATACAGTGGAACCTTGGCTTACGAATGCCCCACGTTGCGAATTTTTCCAGATACGAACAGTCACTCGATCAATTTTTTGCTTCTGGATATGAACGAAATTTCAGGATGCGAACTTCCCCCTCAAGGGAGGTTCCTTGGTGAGGGGCTCTTGATCAAGGGAACTGGATCTGTGCTCCACTTCCCTAAATTAATAATAATAATATAATTATTACAAATGTACAGCAGGCCTGTTGGCCCATACTAGGCAGGTTCTTGACAATCTATCCCACTAAAAGAATATTTGTCCAACTCAATTTTCAATGCTACCCAAGCAATAAGCTTAGAAAATTTTATTTACTCGTGTGCAGGTCCCACTCACATCCAACTCCTCTCACTCGTATATTTATCCAACAGAAGTCTGAAACTACCCAAGGTTTCAGCCTCAATAACCGTACTAGGCAGATTGTTCCACTCATCAACATAAGAACATAAGAAAGGAGGAACACTGCAGCAGGTCTGTTGGCCCATACTAGGCAGGTCCTTCACAGATCCAGCCCACTAACAGAATAAACGTACCCAAGCAATAAGTGTTGACAATTCTATTTACTCATCTTGATTGTGTGCTAATGGAGTTATAGGAAGCTGACATCCAAGAAATGCTGATCACTGACAATGATGTACCTGTTGTGCATTCTTTGGGTGATCGTGAAATTAGATAAATTGTGATAAATAAATAAGCCGTAGAGTTGATATTAGCATCATATTGAAGTATTTTGTCCTGCCTCCTAAGAGCAGGAATTCTGCTGGATCAGATTAATTCCATTTCAATTAATTTAAATGAGGAAAATTGACTCAGCATACGAACAAATCGGGATACTAATGAGGTCATGGAACGGATTAAATTCGTTAGCCGAGGTTCCACTGTATGTATATTGTAGAACAATAGTAATAAAAAAAATTTTTATTGTTGGTTTGTGTAAACAAGTTTTGTAAACAATATAATGATAAAAATGTTTGTGCAGTTATTGTGTTGCATACAATGAGTGTATAGTATATGTACATTGCACCTTACTTTGGTCTCACATGCCACATAAGATACCTGAAAAAAATATTGAAAAAGACAAGAAACCTTTGAATGGGAGTAAATATAAAAATACCGGGTGACCGGCATTTGCCACTGTTGCCATATAAGGCTCATTTTCTGCCAACTTTATGCCTCTATATCTTGGAAAGTACTGAATGCAATTTTTTTTTTTTTTTTTGGGGGGGGGGGGGGCTTAAAACAATCAACAAATTAATCTTAACATTTTGGTAAGAAAAAAATACTTTGTTTTTTTTTTCGAATATTTTGCGACATATAGACGCTTCAGGATTTGGGGTTGTGACAGTTAAAGGGTTAAGTTGAGAATTAATTACACTGAACTATCGATTTATTGGATTAATGGAGGGGAAAGGATGTCTGTTCAAGCAGATTAGCCATTAAATCTGAAAGATTATTTTCCACGACTGTTACAGTAATGGACAATACTGCATTAAATTAATTTTTTCCGTTGAATCCAGAATTGTCCATAATGATGATGGACAATTTTGATTTAACTGACTTTGCTAAATCGAAAATTAATATACCCAGTGGACTGTAAGATTAAGTAACACTTATAGATTTAACGGACTTTGTTGTTTTCGAATATAGTCTGGCTGCAGATTTTGCCATTAACCCTTAAACTGTCCAAACGTAGATCTACGTTTTTTCAACATTTGAAAGTACTATGTAAAAAAACGTAGAGCTTTTTTTTGTTTTTTCCATTTGAAAACGTGTAAAAAAAACTTTGATCTACGTTTTTTTGTTATATTTGAAAATATGTAAAAAAAAAACATAGATCTACTTTTGGAGCACTACACATGTGAACATAGATCTGTTTGGACAGTTTACGGGTTAAATACAAAATTCATTAAACTGAGGTTTTTCTATGTAGGATTTAATTCAATATGCACTCATAGAATTTCCTATATCCAACTCATTTTAGCATGATTTATAATATTTTTTTCAAATGAATGTCAGTATTAACCAAATTAGAGTAATATTTATATGGACCCAATTTAACTTGTTTCTTGTTGAGTATATGTAACCATTCATTTATACAGTATGGGAACTTTCGGCCTGGGGTTCAGTCCCTCCCTTACAGTACTAAGGAGCTATTATGTAGCAGCACTTTAAGTCCACCAATTTATTTCTCAGTAAATGGTACCAATTTTGGGGATATTTTTTTTTTTATGTTTTTTTTCATAATGGTACCATAAAATATTAAACATATTATGCATTCAAGTGGCTTTGGCATGCTGCATTTTACTGTATTCTTTTGTACTTCACTGTATCATGTTCAGATTAATAAATAAATAAATCAGCAAGCAGGATGGATCAATATATGCCGAGCAATGGATGTGTCTGTCGGCTGGATGCTCTTTTCCTCATACGTTGTTTTCTTATAATCCTTATTGGTATTAATAATTATACAGATGCTGCTGAGGAGGTAAGCAAGATAGAGCTTAAGGAGAAAGCAAGGAAAGAGCTTGAAGACTGGTATAAGCAGCATGAAGAACAGGTTGCTAAAACACGACAGGCCAACAGGTTAGTCCAAGTAATTTTTTAAAGCCAGTAGGTAAATATGGCACAATTATCTTAATTCAATATACCTAGTACAGGGCAACACAAATAGACTGTACTTCTTACATTGAAATACCACTATTTCATACACCTAACCTCCACCACGCTTAAGTTGTTACCTGTAACTGTACTTAATTTAACAATGTCCACTCCATCATACTTTGGGAAACCTGTTCATAGGTGGCAGGCATAAGACGAATTTGAAGTCGATGCATGAAACACCCTCCAGTCCACCATACAGTGATACGTGATGAAGTAAACATGCATAATTTTATTCTATATTTGCATGGACTTCTAACATAATGGTATCTTTTCATTTCCTGTAATTCAACCATTGACAGGCATGTAAGTGACTTATAAGAAACATGTGATATAATCCCTTGCTTTTGTGTCCAGTTTTTTATAATTGTAATGCTAACAAATTCTTCTATTGTACATGATGCTTCAGTCATCTTCAATACTGATATCAAATCTGCTGGAAGATGAAACTCTATGGTTTCCATGCTTCGTACCACTGATGAATATTCTCTACTTGTCTCGTCTTCATAGTAAATTGTTAGTTTTTTAACTTGCTTGTACATATGTTTCAGAAAGCTCTGTGCTGCTGCACATTCCTGACCTTAGGTTCATTAAAACTGTTAGATTAGGTTACATGAATTTACTGTTAAATAGCTTGTATGTGCTGTCATATAAAGCAATGCCACTTAAGGCAATTTTGTATAAATGTATTGAAAAAAGTTTATCCAGAATTTCATAGCATGGGAAAAAAACCTTGTTAGTACACTTTCTAAAATATGAAAGCATCATGGGTAAAGCCTAGATACTATGTGTCATGAAGTTGTTTCCTTCTGATCCCAAGCTGGGTCTTAAAGTCCAGTGTTTTGAGAAGTATAGCTACTCCACTGTCATTTCTGTTACCCACAGTTACTTTCTGGGAGCATCTAGTGCCTTACACACATGACTGTGTTAGAAGATTGCAGATAACTTTTTTTTTTAACTCTGACAAGGACTGAAACGTGAAGGTTTTGAGGATACACACAAAGATGGTGTGGGGAATGTTTTTCTGGCACTCATTACACCCCATAATATCAATTGAACATCAGTGTTTACCTCCAGCAGAATAAAGCACATGTCTTCTCAAGCTGGTTCCATGAACATGATAATGAATTCACTGTACTCCAGTGGCCTCCACAGTCACCAGCTCTCGGTCCAATACAGCACTTATGGGACGTGGTGGAATGAGATACTTGCAGCATTAATGTGTAACCAACAGATCTGCAGCAACTTCTTTGTCAACTTGGACCAGTATCTCTTAAGAAATTCCAAACACCTTGTTGAATCTATGCCACGAAGAATTCAGGCTGTGTGTACATAATCCTTTGATTGTTTTGGTCACATATATTTATATGTCTTACGAGCCAATGTGTTTGATGTATTAATACGCCAAAATTCTAGCGGCTTCAAATCAAGCAGGAGAAAGCTGGTACGCCCACATGTGAGAGAATAGGTCTCAATGGTCAGTGTGCGGACTATAAAAAAATCAGGGAGCCGGTGGTGCATTGTGGGAATGCTATTTCAGTAGTCATTGTTCAGCATGCCTAGCGGAAAGAAATATATGACTCCGGTGATTCTGGGACTCTTCTCTTCCTAAGTGATCACTCTACCACAGATGGAAGTGTCGGTAAAGATGAATTTCATGTTTTTGAGGAGTTTGTGACCGAAAGCAATGCTCAGGATACCAGAAGAAAGAAAGAGGAAGAAGCAAAGAGAAAGAAAGAGGAAGAAGCAAAGAGAAAGAAAGAAAGAATGGTAGGTAGTTACGAAGGAGATGGGCAGGAAGGCATGGGACCGCATGGGTGTTGACAGGCAGTAATGTCATTTTGACAGCTGCTGGACCCTGACTCAGCACATTTAGGAGCGTACGCACACACGACATGCACACGACACACGCACACGACACACGCACACGACACACGCACACACACGCACACGACACACGCACACACACGCACACGCACACGACACACGCACACGACACACGCACACGACACATGCACACGACACGCACATGACACATGCACACGACACGCACATGACACACATGCACACGACACACATGCACACGACACATGCACACGACACACATGCACACGACACACATGCACACGACACACACGACACGCACACGACACACATGCACACTACACACACGACACACACACACACGACACACACACAACACACGACACACACACGACACACACACACACACACACACACCACACACACACACACACACACACACACACACGACACACACCACACACACACGACACACACACACACACGCACACACACACACACGACACACACACAACACGACACACACACACACACGACAAAACACACACACACACCACACGACACGCACACACACACGACACGCACACACCGACATGCACACACGCGACATGCACACACATAACCCCACACATGACACACACACACGCCCCACACACACGACACACACACGACACACACACGACACACACACACGACACACACACTCGACACACACACACGACACCAAAAAACGACACACACGACACACACACACGACACACACAAAACGACAACACACACACGACACACACACGACACACACACATGACACACACACACGACACACACACACGACACCCACACACCGACACACACACACACACACACACACACACACACACACACAACCCCACACACACACACACACGACACACACACCACACACAACACACCACACACACACACCCCACACACACCCACAAAACACACACCACACACACACACAGGACACACACACCCCACCACCCCACCACACACACACACAGGACACACATACACAGGACACACATACACAGGGCACCCCACACGAGACACGACACACCCCACACGACATACACACCACACAAAGGACACACACACAGGACCACATACACAGGACACACATACACAGGGCACACAGACGACACAGGACACACACAGGCACACATACACAGGACACACGTGCGACATACACACACACGCGACATACACGCGACACACACACACGGCACACCACAGGGCACACACACAGGGCACACACACACGGGCACACGACACACACACACGACACACACACGAACACAACACACACACCCCAAAACGACACACCACACACGACACACACACACGACACACACACACACCACCCCACACACCCACAAAACCACACACACCCCACACACCACACACAACCCACACACCACCACCACACCCCACACACACACCACACACAACCACACCACACCCCCCAACCACACCACACACACACACACACACACACCCCCACACACACACTCCACAACACAAAACCCCACACACACCCACACACACCACACCACACACACACCACACCACACACCACACACAACAACCACACACACCACACACAACCACACACACCACACACCCACACACACACACACACACACCACACTCACACACTCAACACACCACACTACACACACACACACATCCACACACACCACCCACTCACACACACAACCACACATCACTACCACAAACACCACACACACCCACAACCACACCACACACACACCATCAACAAGCACACACCTACACACAACAACCCACACCACTCACACACCACACATCACACAAACTCACACACACTCACACCACACCACCACACACAACCACACACCAACACACCACACTACACACCACCAACACACAACACAACACACCACACACACACCACACTCACACACCCACCTCACACCACACCACACACCCCCCCCCCCCCACACCCCCACACACACCCCCCCACAACACACAACCCCACACACCCCCACCACCCCCCCACCCCCCCCACACACACCCCACACACCCCACCCACCCCCCCACACACCCCCCCACACCCCCCACCCCCCACCCACACCCCCCACACACCCCCACAACACCACACACACCACACCCCCACCACAAAACACCACACACACCACACACACCACACACACACACACCCCACACACCCCACGACACACACATACCACAACACCACACACACCACACACAACCACACACACCACACACATCACACACACCCAAAACCCCCAAGCACTACCCCAAAACCACCAAGCACTACCACCAAAACCCCCAAGCACTACCACCAAAACCAAACCCAAACACTACCACCAAAACCACCAAGCTCTACCACCAAGCACTACCCCCACCAAAGCCAAGCACTACCACCAAAATCACCAAGCACTACCACCAAAACCAACCAGCACTACCACCAAAACCCCCAAGCACTTTCCCCCGAAACCGCCAAGCCCCTACCAACTAAAACCCCCAAACACCACCACCAAAACCACCAAGCACTCCACCAAAACTACCAAGCAATACCCAAAACCACCAACTCTACCCCCAAAACCACCAAGCACTACCACCAAACCACCAAGCACTACCACCAAAACCACCAAGCACTACCACCGAAACCGCCAAGCACTACCCCTAAAAAACCCCCAAGCACCACCACCAAAACCACCAAGCACTACCACCAAAAACTACCAAGCAATACACCAAAACCACCAAGCTCTACCACCAAAACACCAAGCACTACCACCACCACGCCAAGCACTACCACCAAAACCACCAAGCACTACCACCAAACCACCAAGCACTACCACCAAAACCACCAAGCACTACCACCAAAACCACCAAGCACTACACCAAAACCACCAAGCACTACCACCAAAACCACCAAGCACTACCACCCAAAAACCCCCAAGCACTACAACCACCACTGCAAGCACTACCACCCAAAACCACCAAGCATACCCCCAAAACCACCAAGCACTACCACCAAAAACCCCCAAGCACTACCACCAAAACCACCAAGC